TTATTATTGTTTGACTATTTTGCTATTATTGTTAAAATTTGCTTGAAATTTGAAACATTGGATGTTTAGGTTCGATATACATTCTGTATAGCACCAGTGAATCCCGATGAGAAGTTAGCCGCATCGGCATTCGTTAAAATGGCTCGAAGGTGAGCTTATATTCTTGTTCAACTTTGACTTAAGCGTAGACTTGGACAATAAATTTTTGTCTAATAATGCATGAATTGTTTGCGCAGTTAAAAAAAGTTTTTCATTCTTTAACAAAAGTGATTTAAAATTGCAGATTTTCATCAGGACAAGCGTTGACATGTGAATGGTTGTGTTCTATTATTGGATGGCCAATACCTCCACCGGAAAAGCTGATCGATTTAGTTAGACTCGAGCAGATCTATGGCATCGTTGATGTTTATCTGTGGTTGAGTCTGAGATTTCCGGTGAGGTGGTCACCTTCGAATTGAATCAGTAATCGGTGAAATTCGAGTCCAAATAATCAGTGCAGTTCGAGTCCATCAATGCAGAACAGCTATTGAAATGTAGTACTTTGCAAGTAGCATATGGTCCAACTGATTGAAATTTTGATATCGGAACGAAGTTATCATCTACAGTGACAATTCAAGAATCTTAAGATATAGAGCGATTGATTCATTTTAAGGATATGTTCCCAGATGAAGTGGAGGTGCGAAGTTTAGAGAAACAGTTGGATTCGATCATCGAAGACGGTGTCTCACGTATCATCGATCTGTTGGGCGTTGTTGTGCACAATGCGAAAGAGTCGAGTGAAGCGAAGAAATTGGCTGAACGACTGAAGACTGAACAGGAGAAAGCCGAATTTGAGAGCGAGCTCGAGGTCGAGAATGAGTTTTTGAAGTGAACGATGATCAGAATACTAAAAACTTATGGCCACATAACTTCAGTAGACATAACTCTAGATATAAATCAACGTCGGTTCATGGCATTAAAACATAATCCCGTGGCGAATTCCTATGACGATTGAAACATTTTTGTATGAGAATGCAATTTCCGATGGAGTTTTGATGAGTGATATTACTGTGGTTTATTTTCAGGACGGAAGTGACGAAGGTATCGCAAAACAATCGCTGAAACTACCATCAAAACGAAAAGGTCCTTANGAGGAACTGCGTGCAGAATTGAGACGTGAGGAAGCGGATAAACTGAGGAGGAGAAAATAATTCTATCTTATCACATTCAAAATCGGATTGTATTGGTTTATTTGTTGTGTTTGCGTGTTGTTTACGTTTGATTGTTATGTTTTAGAGGACTGCGAAATATATATCATGAAATAAATCAAATTATATTAACTTGAAATTCTCTACAAATAACAAGCCAACTGCACCATACAATACAGTAAAGCTCACTTATTACTGGCTGATTTGCTGATCATATAGCATTTTTGCGCTGGCATTTGAACATTAAATAATTTCATGTCATTGTCTTTTGATATCAAAATCTCAGTCATCCCCAACGAGTGTCTCAAGTATTAGGATTTATTAGAAGTGGAAGATTTGAGTGTGTTCAATTTTGTTGACATGAAAATGTTTTCGGGTGAAACGGAACATTTCATGTGATCAATGATAATATTTAAATAGATTCCTCAAAAAACTGACAGACATCGATTTCAATGAAATATTCTCTAGTGATATCAGTTTGCAGCATGAATGCATATCTTGGAGGAATATGTGTTTTTTCTGCCATCAATTTAATCGGAATGATGAATGCTGCGGATTAAGTCCAGACAATAGCCGAACCTGTACAAGGCCTGACATACTGCCTGTAACACCGTAATAATGATGCATAACATATCTGTAATACAGTAATGCATACCGTATTATAATACATGAAGGTGTGATTCTCACACAA